ATATACAGATGTGGGAGCACTGATGTTAGAGCCCTAAGGATCCATGCGATTCTTAAAAGTTAACTTCTCTTTCTGCACTTACCCAAGAGAAATCTCTTCCATTCTGGATGGAATATGTTTATTTAAGTAGTGAGAAGAGATAATATAATCAGGTAAAAGATCAGAGAAGAGTCAAACAAGTTGTCATGTTGTAAGGCTCAGGGAAGTCAAAGGCAAAGAGGGGTTCAAACAGTGAGGCTTTGGGGCTTAACCTTCTGAAACACTATAGAAAGGTTAAATTATATCAACAGTAAGCAGAGATGGAGGTGGAGTATAATTCAGTTATACTGTTAAAATGCCTGCCATAGTGCTTATGTGATATTTTAATTGCTTATTATTCCCCACCATTTGGGAAAGGCTATTTGATATTGTTAATTATTTAACTTCCATCACTTATCACAAGAAAATGGGTGAATGAATAAATACAGGAATAACAATGTCAGTTGTGACATACTAAAAGCAGTTTCAATAGAGAGATGGGTATAGGAAGCCAAGTTCATATATATTCATATTTATTCTATACATAGTTTTCTTTTGTAAGAAAGAAATAACCCCAAACGCCTTCAGTCTTAAAATTGTTGGCTTTAATTATAATGATTTTTTTAAAGTGAACTATTTTTGTGTCAAGGGCTGTTCCTCCAGATAGCTAAATTAGAGGAAAAATTCTGCTGAAAATAACATTTCTGTTGATTTTGGATTGTCTTTTGATCCAGTGGGACTTCAGAAAGATTTATATTACAAGAAAAGCCTCTGATAGATATCTATGAAAGCAAGATTAAAACAATATTGTACATAGTCAACTGTGGTCCAAGGGTTTGTAAACCAGTGCCAGTTGGAATGCTCAGAGATTTGGGAACAAGGATCTTCAGGCAACCAGGTGAGACTAATCTGAGGAAGCTTTAGGAAGGAGATAAATTTAAGCTGTTTTGAAAGGGGACTATTCTAGTCAATTGGCAAAGAGTCTTAAAGTGCAGGATTAGGTATTTTAATTTGATTACCTGAGATAATTTGGAGCTATCTCAGTGTTCTGAAAAGACTTTATAAATGTTGCCTGGAAGATAATTCATTTCTGTAGTTCTTAACCCTGGTTGCATACTAGAACTACCTGGAGAGCTTTAAGAATTCCTGTTACCCAGTCTGTGCTCCATATCAAATAAACCTAGGATGGGATTTAGGCATCCACAAGCAGGTAGGCAGGTGGTGGTTTCAACTGGTGAGTTCAATAGACAGACAAAATTGAGAATTGCAAACAGGCAAGATAGAGGCCAGAATGAGAAAGGTTAGCCAGGAGGTTGGGAATGGGAATCTGACCTAGCTTTTTGTACAGAGATAAAAGGGTAAAGCTAAATAAAGTGTTCTGAAGGAAACCTTGGTTGGACTTTGTGATGCATGTCAGCTGCAATTTTTCATAAAGCTATCTTCTAGGAACATTACTGCTTTTATTATGATGGATTAGTTGGAAAACAAATGAATAGGATTTACTTTTGCTAAAATTTGAGGTCGCTTATTAGCAGAATTCTCCACTTTTGTAGAAGCAAGGCTGATCACAAAATGAAATAAAACACTTATACAAGCTGTTGTTTATATTTGATCGAGGGAAAGGAAAGCTAATAATGGATACTCGAGTTAAATCAAAATTCACATTTTAAATTGAGTTATAATTAGGAGATACTGGGCTATGGTAAAGTTATGATCCCTTTAGAGTAACCTTGAAGGAAATGAAAAGCCAGGCCATTAAGAATATTAAAGAGAAAGATTCACCGTCATTTTCAATCATAACTATCTCCTTTCTTAGAATGAAGCCTTTACAGCAGGGGTGGGAAATGGATGGGAAGTATATCAGAAATGATCACCTCTCAGCAAGGTGAGCAGGCATACAAGGATGGGAGTTCCAGTGTTCAAGTCACATCATTTAAAATTTGCTCTGACATGTCCCACCTTTAGAGTTTAGTGGGAAGGCTCAATGTTTAAAGGTAGAGCTATTACCTTTATTAAAAAGTGTTTCAGAATGTAATCTGCACAGCAGTATTTGACAAAATATAGACATTGAAAAAGAAGCTTCACTGGCAACTGAAGATGGTTATTGGAATAAAATTGTTTTTCTGACTCTGAGGATGAGGCTGTCTCACGACAGTGCTAAGGTTCTAATGGCTGCTACCATTTAGCGAACAGATTGGAACTATAAATGGATGATACCTCTTCTTATATTCCTGCTCCTAAATGTGGGTCTTGTTATACACAGAGACAAGGCTGGACCTAGCTGTGAGTCTGGTAGCTCTATATGTGGTGATCTGAGGGGTAAGAGTTTTCTTCCTAAAACTTCCTTAGTAAACTATCCTTGTGAGAAATGAAATGCAGTCGGAAGCTAAGACATAGTTTCCAAACAACCCTTGAAAAAATGAAAGTCCACTCACAGGGATCAGCAACACACCCAGAAATGTCATTTATACCCCATCTCTCTTTCAGAGGAGTTCAGAGCAAATACATCAGCAGGAAGAAGAAAGTGTGGTAGAGTCAGAAAGGAGAAGAGATTAAAGTTACCAGGCCTAGGGTAAGTCTGGGTATCTTAAGGAATCAAGAAAGATCTCCTGGGTCGGCTGATAGTCGGAGAAGACAAACCCGAGGCTTCTCATCTGCCTCTGGCCTGATACTCAGTTTATCTCATTTCAGCCACACCAACAGAGGGTCACAACACCTGCCCAAAGTTACTCTCTACCTCCTTGGCACTTCCAGGTTTCTTCAATTGCTTCCAATTTCCTTTCCACGGATTTGCTTTTCCAAGAAAGACAGCCTTAAATTAACACTCTACAAAGTAACCCTACATGTTGGTTTTCAAAATTAATGATCCTTATGGAAAAGCAAATTCATCTTTGATGTCAGGATGAAGCAAAGAAAAAACTCCCTGTTTGGGTACTGGACCCTCTTAACACAGCACATCCGCAGTATTTTCTCCCTCCCTTCCTCACTCATAAAGACAGAAGACAAAACACTCCAGAGCCATCTCTGAATCCAAAGGACCACACTGCACTCATTCTGCCTGCTCACACCTAAACAATGGAGGCTTGTGCACAGCCTGCGCAAAGGTGTCCAGCAGAAGCCAGGAAAGGCTCCACAGAGGTAGCCACCCGATGTGTTCCTCCTCCTTTCTATGTTCATGGTTTGAAAAGACTGCAGTAACTATTTTCTTCCATTGAAATAGCATTGTAATAGTTTCTGTGATTTCCAGAACACAATAGCGTCTCCACAAGCTCCCATCACAGGTCTGAGAGTCCAGAGAGATCTTTAAGGGGATCAGAAGTTCTCTGACTGCCTTGCTGTGTTTTTCTAGGCACAAGCCTCTGCTGCATGGCTTGCACAGCTCCTTTCAGCTGAAAAATTAAATCTGCACTCCCGTCAGAATGTGTCATACGCACACCCGGACTCTCATCGCAATTTACCACACTCCACGCAGAGTGGAGACGGAAAGGATGGCGTGCCCCTCCTTCGGAGCTCTGGGAGGGCCAGATGTTTGGGAGGAGCTGAACAACTGTCTGGGGACTGTCTGGCCGAGCTGGCTCCAGGAGTTTCCACGGGAGCGTCGGTGTTATGAAAAGAGCCAGTGTCCGTCCATCTCATGGGGTGTGAATCACACTCCCTCCGGTGGGCCTTTGGGAGAAAATTCTTGAAGGACAGTCAGTGCTGCAGAACCTGCCAAATTCACGGCGGAGCCCGGGCTGTGCGAAGGAGGAGGGGGCAGATTTTCGGGGGGGGGGGTTCAGGTCTGTTTCTCCTTTGTGCCCCTTGACTGGGTTCTCTGACTGCAAACTCTCAGGAAGGACAGGGAGGAGGCCCTTTTATGTCGGGTGGAGTGTCTTGCCCATCAGTAAAAGCTGAATGACAGCGCCAATTTGGGCCTGCAAGACCTGGTGGCGCGGACCGGGCCGGCCCAGCCCACTCGCGGGCGCGGCGGGGCGGCGGTGGCCCCAGCAGCAAAGCCGCAGCGGTTGCTCGCCCACCCGGCCCGCGCACTCGCTCTGGGGCTCCACCTGGCCGGCGAGCCGGAGGGGCGGGGCCGGCTTCCCGGAGGCGGTGGCGCCTCCTCGCGTCCGAGCGCGCGCGCCCCGGCGTCCGGCGCACGCGCACGCGCGAGGCCGTGAGGGAGCGCGCCCCGGCGGCTGGAGGAGGAGGGCGGCTGAGGAGAGGCTGCCGCGCGCGTGCTGGCGGCGGTGGCAGCCAGCGGCAGCGACGGAGGCAGCGGCAGCGACCCGAGCCCGGGAGGAGTGTGGGGAGCGAAGAAAGAGGCGGAGGGAGTGCAAGGCGCGGGGCGGCGAGAGGCGCGTTTCTAATTCTTAACTAGGAGCCCCGAGTTTGTAGATGGGGCTGCTCGTCGGCGCCTGCGGCTGAGGCAGACCGGCGGCGGCGGCGGCGGCGGCGGCGGCAACGGAGGAGGAGGTGGGAGAGGAGAGGCGGCGCGAGGCGGCTGAGGTGCGAGCCGGTGAGTCGAGGGGCCCCACGCGGCCCGGGTAACGGTCCGTCCGCGCGCCGGCCGCGGGCGGGGGAGGGCGCCCTGTTGCTCGTCTCGCCGCGCCACGCGGGGACCCTCGCCCGCCCCGCCCCTCAGCACCTGGGCTTCCGCGGGCCGGGAGGTGCCCGCCGCTCGGAGCCCGGCGGACCCGCGCCGAAAGGGCGCGCCGCGTGCGGCCGGGCGGGTGGGAGGCCGGAACGCGGCAACGTGTCTGGCTCATGCTACTGGCCGCCGCCCTCGCGCCCCACGCGCTCCTCCGCGCAGCCCGGGCTGAGGCTGCGGGCTCCCGGGACCCCTTCGAGCGCCAGGCTCGGACGCCGACATCCTCTGCGGCGGGAGCCGCGGTAAAGCTTGAATGGAGAGCCGCGCCGGGGGCGGTGGAGATGTGACTGACACTTCGGGGGATCAGCCCCGGGAGGGGGCGATCGCGCCGGCTGCTGGCTCTTTCCCGAGCTCGGAGTTCCTGGGGGAGGAGGCTTTCCGCAACTACTGCTGCTACTTGGGAGGCACGAGATTTCAGTTGTTTGACCGAACTGGTTGTGGGCCGAGCACACGCTGCTCCGAGGGCGTTCGCTGCTGCTGAGATCCTGCTCTCTGATCCTAGGTACATTTGTCTGGAACCACAAAGGTGCCAAGGCTCCCTCCCTACTTTCTTTCTTTCTTTCTTTTTGGCAGAGTTGAGGGCCGGGAGGGAGTCGATTGAGAGATCGGATCGTGTGATGACAGCATGTGGATTGGTGGGCGAATGGTTTTTTGCAAAGGACTTTTTAACACTTTATTGGGAGTTTATTCTCAGTCTTATTACAGCTCAAGATTGCGTCCATTAAACTTCTAGCATTTGGGACGTGCGTTTGTGTAGGTGGGGGGAGGGAGGTGAGAAAGAGAATTGAAAACTGAGGAGGAGGCTCAGAAAATTCTCCGCATGACTTAAAAACAGCCTAAGGCCAGGCTAGCCATGTTTTACTATTTTCCTATGCCTTTGGGGTTTGTTGGAATTTTACTTTATGCTTCCTGAATTGGACTCCTTGGTATAAAAGCTGAGAACATTCGGGGTGTGTTAAAATGCTCTTCATTGATTTAGTAACCATTTATTCCTGTGAAATCGTTCAAATGATCTTTTGGGAACTTACACATATCCATTGTATTAGATGAGGTAATACACTGCTACTGACGTGGAAATACATGTAAGAAGGACTTTAATCATTCAAGACTTATTTTAGGCGTCTGCTATGCAGTTTTGATAAGCTACCAAGTCTGATTATAGTTTTCTCTTCAGAGGTCTTATTACCATAAACAAAGAACTTTTGTGGGTTGTGGTCTATATTTAAATACTTGTTTAAATACGTGTTTATACAGTGTGTTACTCTTTAAAGCCCATGTTTATTCTAGACTAGAGTTACATAATGAGTAAATGATAACACTTTTAATTGCTCAATTTTATCATGTAGAGATGCACACTCTGAAAGGGGTTTATGTGTTCTTAATGATGGCACTGAATACTTTTTGCACTTGAAATATCAAAGTGAATTATTTTACATTGTAGGTTAAATTTAACACTGGAAAATCTAGTATCTCAGTGAGGCAGAACTTTGGCGGGGGCAACTGTTGGATTTTCAGAGTGAATCATATTTTTCTTAGACATTTGAGAAAGCAGTTTGCCCCCCCCCCCTTATTGCGGGCAGAAATTGTTCCAGAAGACTACTCAGCCTGCTTCTTTCCTTCCCTTTCCTCTCCTCCTCCTTTTAGCTTGAAATAACCAAGAAAATCATAATTCTGAGCTTCTCTGTTACCTTTTTAAAAAGCTGTTTTAAAATTGTTGCTTGTTTCAATAGTTCCCATCCTTTCATACACTTTCCTGTACAATAATGAATGGTTCACAGAATACAACAGATAGATAATTTAATGAAATGCCTTTTGCATTTTTGAAATCTGAGCTTTATTAAAAGTGGGCAGTATTACCAAACTATTGCTGAGAGTTGCAAATAACGCAGGATTCCAGGTAGTCAAAGTCTGAATGTAAAAACACTAAAAAATAAATGTTAAAAAACAAAAGGATGGATTGCTGCTTTTTACACCACTTACTATAATATGAATTATCTAGTCCCAAATGACTTAGAATGTATTTTCTAAATTATATATTAGATAAATAACCCTGATAATTTTCCTCTCCAAAGTATTTCATTTGATAAATAACTTACATTGGTATCAGAATCCTGCTTCGGATAACTGTAACCTGCAAAGAATGTTTTTATATTTTTAGGAAAAATGAATACCTGTCCATTTCATATGTTCTTGGCTATTTGGGGGTATATTATTAGTTATACCTAAGAAGCCTACACTGAAAAAAATAATGCTTGTTTTATCTGTAGGATTTTTTTCCTTTTAAAAATTGTCTTTACATTTATAAATATTGCATCATAAGAGCAGACACTAGAGAGCTCTCTACTGACATGGTATAAATAGTATTGAATTAAAGATTATATTTTTTGTTGTAAGGATCAGTTTTGCTTTTGAGTCAGTCTTTTAAGTCATTTTCCTTGAATCTGCAGTGGTTTTTCACAGGCTTTTCTGTTTCCTATGTGACCACTGGGGGGAGACTTTACAGTTTAGCTTGACTGCATACTGTCTTTGCATACACTGGCTGCTAATTATCCTGGGCATTTTGCCAAACTGCTAGAAAGTGTGGTAAGGAGGACACACTTAGAGCCACCTCTTGATCAAGGTGTTTAATAACTTTTCTCAACTCACACCACACTCATAAAGTATCTTTATACACTATTATTAACAATCTACTGTTTGGACTATTGTGCTCACATTGTGAAAGATTTTTGAATATAACATAGTTTTTAAAGATCTGAATTTACTGACAATCCTGAAAGCAATGTAAGTTTGATTACTTGCTTAAAGTACACAAATATTAGGATATGGAAAGGATATGGAAAGGAAAGAAGGATATGGAAAGATCATCACTCTTCCATGAGGCATAATTGTATCCAGACCTCTTTAAGCAGATTGGTCTCTTTTAAAAGCTTTTAGAGAAGGAGAGATTGAAGCATCCCTTGTACCTAATTTTTGTGCACATTTCATGACAGAGAAGTTCATATTTTATCTGAGAGAAGACTGCAACCTACATCTTGTTGACTATAAACTATGGCTATTCTTTCCAGCTACAATAGAGGCAGAAATCTTTCTACTTTTTTTCCCTGACAGTATTCAACCTTGTTAATGTCCAGTTCAATAATAGTGCAGTCAGTAAAGAAAAGATGTTGTGTTTAGAGATGCTTTATGGTCCTCTTAAATAATAACAATAATTTAGAGACCTATGATCTTTATTGTAGTACATTGATTCACTGAAAAAAAAGATCTGGAGAGGTTCTTATCATTCTAGATTATTCTCCTTTCCTTTAAGATGGCTCTGCTTTTGTCCTAAAATTAATTCATTCATTCTTTCATATAATATCTCAGAAGAGATATTTTTTTGCTTAGGAAAATGTTCATTTGTGGATAACTTTACAATTGTGTTAAACACTTGCAATAGTAATTTCTGTTAAAGTTTTAAGGCAAAATGAGAATTAAATATTAAAGACAATATAACGAGATATTTAAAAAGCTTGTTAAGTCCTTTTCACTGCTTACTAATTCCAGTATGTGATCTGATCCCTATATATGATGTTACCTTGTCAACTTATTTTCCTTTTAGATTTGTCATTCCTCGGCAACTTATTTGCCATCTCTCGTTTTACTGTATTCTTTTTTGTTCTTTGTTAATGTCATGGCTTGTTCTAGACTTAAGGCTTTTGTATTTCCTGGTCACTCTGTCTGGGACTCTTCCAAAATCAGTACATGACTGGCTCATTTTCATTCATATTTCAAAAAAGAATTACTGTCTAGCCACTGCCCCAGAACGATACTGCCCTCATCCCTCTGTATCTCATTACCATGTTTCAGATTTTCTACAAGCTATTTTTCATTTTTTGCAATTAAATTGTGTTATTATATGCATGTTCTCACTAGAATGTAAGCCCCATGTTTTGAGTGATCTTTTTTCTTTAACACTGTTTCAAGGACTTAGACATGTTCCTGATACATAGGTGTCATCAAAGAATTATTTTAAAAATCTGAGGTTTTTGTGTTAAAATACCTCTTGATAAAACTAAATCAGTAAATGATAGTTGTAGTTAAGTAGGCCATTTTTGACCATAAGTAACAGAAATCCATTGTAATTAGTGTAAATAAGAATTTATTAAGAGGCAGTGATTGTTTTGTACAATCTGAATGCTGGAACATGGGGGCTTCAGTGCCAACAGGAAACACTACTTCTTCTCTATTCATTACCAGGCATTTGCTTCATTTCTTCTTTGGCTACAGAAAACCATGTTCCTATTCCTCTTCTGCATTCTCTTCTGAAAAATATGTCCACTACAAGTTTCTGTATTTTCATGGTACCAGCCCAGACAATTGGAGATAGATTTATCTGTTACTCATTTTTTCCTATTCTATAAGATATATCATGTTAGCAGAACTTTGTCTTCCCTACTGTAACCATGTGTTGTGAGATTAAGCAGACAATTCAGTAGATACCCCTGTGATAACTAATATTTATGTTTGATCACTTCCTCAGATCCTCACCTCTCCCTTTTATTACTTGAGCTTCAGATGTAAAGATCTGAAAAGCACTCTCCTAGGGATATCCCAAAGAGATGTCCTTCATGGGAGGAATTTACAGTTTTGTTAAGGAAGATAAATAAAACCTATACATAAAGGAAAGAAATAATAAAATAGCATGATGTTGGGGGAGAAACTAGGAAAATATTTGCAGTTTGTATTACAGATAAAAGATTAACTTCTTTAATATGTAAAAAGTACCTACAACACAATAAAAGACCACTCATCAAGTGGCAAAGATCATAAACAGGCAATTAAAAAAATGAAATCCAAATGATTTTTAAGCATATGTTAAGACATTTTGCCTCATATAAATATAAATTAAAACTGGAAGGTACTACTTTCATCTAATTAGACTGACATCAAAAGTTATTGATAATACTTAGAGATAGAGGTTGATGTGCTTTCACTGTTGGCGGAAATATAAATCAGTAGAATTGATGTACCTGAAATTTTTGAAGAGCATTAAGGTAAATGGAAAAGGCTAGAAACGTGTAGATTGATGTGGATATTTATTGCAGAATAAAGAATTAATATACAACGTGTAGCTGAATACTAACTACACCCATCCCCTCCCCTAGGTTTTCCCCTCTTTTCTGTCCTAGTACTTGTGAATTTTTTTTTCCTGGTGTTGAATGCAAGGCTTCCTTCATAACACTGAGTACACATGCTACTACTGAGCTATACCCCCTCCACCTTAAATTGTTTCTAAATTTCAGAAATTGTTATACTTTGTGTCCTTCATAGAGCAGAGCACTTTGTTACTTAGTATCACTAAGATGACTTGAAGGAGTTTAGCTTTATTTTTTATAGACTATTTATGCTTTTGGAAATCTTGTGATTTAGAATTTCACTTGATAAGTGTGCTTAGAATGTTTAAACAATTGGGCAGCAAAGTTATTTTCATAAATTTGGTTTACTGTATAGCATTATAGAGCC